GTTCCCAAAGACATCGTGGGAGAGACATAAGATAGTCTGAGATGAAGGAAGCCTGTCAGACTTCTTAGAACCTAGAGGACTGGACCACAGAGGGCCACCTTAGTCTTTGCTGGTACAAGTCTATCTCTATTCCTGACTTCTCTCGTAATGGCTGATTTTTTTTTTTTTTTTGGAAACAGAGCCTCAAGCTGTCCCCCTAGGTAGAGTGCTGTGGCATTACAGCTCACAGCAACCTCCAACTCCTGGGCTCAACCAAATCTCTTGCCTCTGCCTCCCAAGTAGCTGGGACCACAGGGGCCTGCCACAACGCCTGGCTATTTTTTGGTTGCAGCCATCATTGTTGTTTGGTGGGCCTGGACTGGATTCGAACCCGCCACCTTAGGTGTATGTGGCTGGTGCCTTGACACTTGAGCCACAGGCGTCGAGCCCCTTTGCTTTTCTCTTAATATCAGTTGCTTATCCACAGCCTTTTCCCATCATTGTCCTCTACCCATTTGGGACTCCAGATATACCTTTCCCATCTGCCAAATCGCATCATAAACTTAACATACTAACCACACGTTCTCTAAAACATGAAACAAATCCCCTTATCTCTAGGGCTTTGCTCAAGCTCTTGCCTTTGCCATGAATGCTTTACTTCAGAAGTGGGAAATTGTTGTATGATAGTCTGGTATCTGCAAACCTAAATGAAGGACGGATACCCTTGTCAGTATGGCTCATAGCACCAAAATATCCACAATACTTAGTAAATATTTCTAACAATGAAGTGTGTGGCTATGGTGGAATCCAAGTTGAAATCAAATTTACCCCTGTTTAAAACTGACATCAAATTCCTTCACATATAAAAAGGAAATATACTATATAGAACATTTCAAACAAATGAAATACACTTCATTGAAAATTTAATAAATTACATTCAAATATGACTTTTTTAAAAAAAGAGACAAATGTATAATGCAAGTATTTATTAAAATGCTGACCATTTAAACATCTGAACCATATTATATAATACTCATTCACTTTTGAGAAATACATTAATGAGAACATAGGAGCTTCTATATAAGGCTGAGTATTTTCAGTACTACTGGCCTAGATGAGGAAAGGCTGCATTCATATACTGGTGACTCAAGAAATACCATCTACCTGGTGTTACAACTGCTGGTGTGTGAAGACTAGGCTAGCACCCACGATTGCCTGGGCTCTAGAAAACAAGCATGCTGTGTTCCTGTGCCATATGGAACCCACAAGACAAAGTCTGATCAAAGGTGAAAATACATGTGGGGTGTGCATGAGACTAGACCAAAAGGCTGGAGGAACAAAGGGAAAGCTGTGTGCAGATATTGCTTTGATCTTAATATATTTGTGAGGCAATGAAGCAGCCAGGAGCCTGCTTACAACTATTCCAGGTCAGCAACTCTAAGATATTTACATCAAAGTAGCTGGTAGAAAATATAAATGTCCCCTGACCCTGACTAGAGAATTAAACCGTCATAACAGATGCAATTTTGCAGACAGGTGGTTATCGAGCTGCCTGTAAACTTAAGGGGGGACATGTATCAGCTCAAAAGATACCTGTGTATCTGACTTCAGCTGGTAAAGAATCAATAAAGATGTCTAAATGTTGATTTTAAACAAAGCTACCATTGCATAAGGACAATAAAGTTCACTAAATCACAACATAAGACAACATCTACAAATGCAATGACAAGCCTATTTTAAATACATTTTGTTGAGTAAACATATTTTTTACTAACTATAAATCCAGTGAGACAAAAAGATAATTACATATAGTTAATGTTAAAGACTTTTAGGCTGTGGTTTAAGTTCAAAAGATTAAGGATTTTGCAAAAAGATAACATGTGATGGTTAACTACATATAAAGAGTATTTGATTAGATACAGAAAATATTAACAAGTATGGTTGTCTTCTTTTTGAAAACTAGCTTTACAAAATACCAACTCAAGTTAAATTTTGACCTACTTTAATTCCTCATCAATGACACCATCATCTGGAACACTGCAAGTAAACCAGTTACTCTGCCACCAAATTATTTGTTTCTAAAGTAATTTATCCAGGATACAATGGAGTAGCCTATATTTAATTATTGTGTATTATTTGTGCAAACTCAAGTTTTTTTTTTTTTTTAAACAGAGTCTCACTATGTTGCCCTTGGTAGAGTGCCGTAGTGTCACAGCTCACAGCAACCTCAAACGCTTGGGCTTAAGCGATTCTCTTGCCTCATCCTCCCAAATAGATGGGATGACAGTCACCTGTCACAATGCCTGGCTATTTTTTTGTTGCTATTGTCACTGTTGTTTAGCAGGCCCAGGCTGGATTTGAACCCTCCAGCCTTGGTGTATGTGGCTGGCACTGTAATCACTGTGCTACAGGCGTCGAGCCCAAACTCAGTTTTAAAAAACATTTCCGGCTGGGTGCGGGTGGCTCATGCCTGCAATCCTAGCATTCTGGGAGGCCAAGGCAGGTGGACTGCCTGAGGTCAGGATTCCAACCCTTTTTCTAAAAATAGCTGAGTATTGTGGTGGGCACCTTTAGTTCCAGCCACGTGGGAGGCTGAGGCAAGAGGATCACTTGAGCCCAAGAGCTGGAGGTTGCTGGGAGCCATGAAACCATGGCACTCTACTAAGGGTGATAAAGTGAGACTCTGTCTCAAAAAAAATTTCCTAAATTTTTTCCAAAGTTCTGTTTCCCAGGACTTTGTTCATTAAGTATGACTACCACTGGGTTCCAAACACTATGTTTCTTATGATAACAAGTAGGGTAAAACCGTTCTCTTTCATGTGACAAGCTACATTCTAAGAGAAGATCCCAAACCTAGTATGTCAGAACAGGGTTATAGATACCATTTGAAAATCTGAGAGATGTTCGGAGGCCTGACTCCAGACAAAGAATTCAACAAGCTTTTACTTTTTTAAGAGAAACATTATGAGAAGGGAAAAAGTGTTCTATAATCTAGGATATGTTCAAGACCCCTTGTTCTCGTAGCCAAATATACGAAAACAGTTTTCCTTAAAGAAATAGCAGTCTACGAGCCAAGGCAAGCTTTGGCTAAATGATTGGTTAGCTTTGTTTGGCTCTGGAGGTTTCCATGGGAACAGCCTGAGAGACAGAAAAGGCAGCGTTATCATTTTTATCCATAATGCCATCTGATAAAACTGCACACGGATTCGTTCCTGCTGTCCAGAGAAGATGTATTACTTCTGATAAGCCTGGACAAAGACAGGTCTGAGTTCCATCTGGTCACACTTTGAATTTGTTGTCTTCCTGTTTGAAACCTTAAATTGCCGATAAAACCTCCCCTGAACATTTCCTTCAGGAGCCTCTAGTTCAAGTAATGCTTCAATAATCAGAAGTCAAATGAAGAAATTTAAAGTCCCAATGGAGCTCCACTGCCAAGTTCTAAAAATTGTATGGCACCAAGCTTTCTGTAGCTGAAAAAAATGTTGTGATGAGTATTTACAATTCCATTATATTAGATCTCAGACAGGCAAGAAATGCCATCTTAAGTGTTTATTTGGTGCATCTTCATCATTTTCCTCCTTCCTTATGTCTAGATCATAGGGGGATCGTAGTGGCAGTAGTGTGTGTGTGTGTGTGTGTGTGTGCATGTGTGTGTGTTTTAATACAGTAACTACTATACCCTCATAATTACCTAATCTTATTTCAGGTAAGTGCTTCTCAGAAAGACCACAAAAGTAGCCCTAGTTTAGAACTATGTTCTGAAATACACAAAAACAAAAACAAAAAACCTCAACAAAATATAAACACAACAAATAACATTAGGAGGCATGCAACCTTTAGCACCATATTTAAGACCACAGAGAGTTAACAGAGTTGATAGAGGTCTAAAGAGGACTCAAGCTCTGGGTCTAATCCTAGAATGCTTTCCTAACCATAGAATCTACTTGTAGAGTCCAGTACTTTTAAGACAGGAACTCCTGAGAAAGTCTATTAACAGATATATCAAAATCCATGATTTGTCAGCGAGAGATAATCAGATATTGTTCTTATTCTAAACACACCAAAGGCAACAAATTGCTCACTTATCAGGAGATAAGTTGGGAAATCACTGTCAGCCTCAACGAACTAAATAACATCTCAGTAAGTCAGTGATTTTCAACGGGTATGCTGTGGCAACAATGGTGTCCTGTGAAAGGATGTTAGGTGTGTCATGAAAATTTTTTTTTGCAGTTTTTGGCTGGGGCTGGGTCTGAACCCGCGACCTCTGGTATATGGGGCTGGCACCCTACTCCTTTGAGTCATAGGAGCTGCCCTGTCATGAAACTTTTTAAAGATTAAATTATTTTTGAAAGAAGTTCAAAGCACAGTGAACATATCCTTTTTTTTTTGTCAACATAATTTAAGTGTGCTATAGGTTCAAGTGTGCCATGAGATAAAAAAGCTTGAAAAACACTGTAGTAAGTTGAAAAGATACGATATATCCCAAGAAGGACTAATTTACTCATGGAAAGTAGTATATATAAAATAGCAGTTAGCCCTCTGATATCTGTGCTTCTGTATCAGTATAACAAGATAGATACTGAAGAGATTCAACCTAGCACATATCATTGATGTGTACCTTCCACAAGGCGAAACATCTGAAATACACTTATGCCTCTGAGCATTATGACAATGATGTGGAAACCTGTTATCACTGAATAGTCTCAGCTTGATTCTCTTCAAAAAGAGGGACTAAAAATGTAGGGAAAGGTTTACTTGGAGATTTGTTGATGATTTTGGTGGTTTAAAGCTGTTGGGTAAGAAGCTTTAGGGCTAGAAACAACTTCAGATCCCATTTAATACAAATCCCCTATCTTACTCATGGGAAAACTGAAGCCTCAAGATAAGGGTCAGACCTACCATCGGAACAATCTGTGACCAGAAACCCTGGGATTCTTAGTTCAGTACTTTTCCCATCATGTTTATCTCTTAGGTTCCTTTAAATCTTAATATGCATTGTTTAATCAAGGTGAAGGAATATGACTAAGAAATAGCAAATAGGAAAAGCACTGAATTTTTACAAAGGTTTTGGCAATTCATGTTCTGATATGCTTAATATTAACCCCAGTTATCTTTTGGTAAAAATGTTGTTTTTTTTCCCAAGAAACAAGTTTTTTATCTGGGAGCCATTTTTGTAGGTATTGGGATAGCCTATAGCTGACAGTTTTCATATGTCCCGTCTTTGTTAGATTCAGCAGATCCGATATCATCAGGTGGGCTGAAATGACTGCTGTCTTGAGAATCTGTATCAATACTTTTTGTCTCTGACTGAAGGTGGACAGAAACCTGAACTGCTATCTCCTGGCCTTGTTCATTCAGAGAGCCATCATCTGAATCTCCTCCTGGTGAATTACTCCGCCCCATCTCTGGGTTAATGACAAATATGCCACTTTGAGCATTCAAGGCAGGTCTCTCTTTAATTCTTTCTCCTATGTCATCAGGGTCATCTACTCGCACAGCCTCAAACATTTCCTCAACAAAGGCGCGGCAGTTCAGAATAAGGGGTGGAAGAGGAACGCTTCTTGCTAGTTCTTCAATATAACGTGCAAACTCCATGGTCTTAAATTGTGTGACTTTGGCGAGCTCCAGAGTTTTGGCTGAGGTGATGATGGGGATTCGTTTTGCAATCTCAAAGGCCTTCTGAAGTTTCTCAGCCCCTTCAGTTCTAAAGAATTCATTGATGGCCTTCTCGGTCTTGCGAAGATGGCTGCTCATCATGCATAGCCTTGTGACGTTCAAGATGAGAGTGATCGTAAAGGCAATCAGGCAAACAATCATGTAATAGACACTCATGTCTCCCGAGGTGAAGATAACACGTAGGGTGACAGAGTAGGAGGCACGAGTTGGAGAAGTGATGAAACACGTATAGAGCCCCCGGTCATCAAAGGCTATGTTGGTGATGTTTAGGAAGTTATCAGAAACCAACCATTTTCCACCTGATAATCCAATAGAAACAAAAAAAGAAATTACAGCATAAAGAATATTATTAATGAATATGCCAGATGCCTTGTCAATATTCTACCTTTTCATGAGAGTACCTTAACTCATGTGTTAGATTCTACTGTTTTTTTTCAATTAGGTGAAAAAGTCTAGATTGTTATAAAGGGTCAGAATTTAATTGGTCTGGAACTTAAAAAGGAAATAAAGGTCTTCTCTCCTGATGTTAATAATTACCACACCCTCCTTTTTACTGCTAGGCATAAAAAGCCTTTTCGTGAGAAAGGTATGTCTATATAATGCTAAATGACTAATCTTAAAAGAAAGTTTATATGTGTATGCATGTTTACATCAGAGTCTCTTCCTATACATTTTCATATACTAGAAAAATGTCTCAGAAATATATGACAATGGTTTAAAATAATGGTATTTTCACTTGTTATAATTTTCATTTTCTCCCTTTAACTGTGTTTGCTCACTTTCCATAGTGAACTTATATATAGCAAGAAAAAAAGCTGTTTTTTTAAAAAAAAAATCTAGTAAATGCATGCATTTGTTTAATTACTAATTGGCTAATCTCATACGCCTTGCACTTATTAATTTTGTTAGGACAGGTTAGCTGATGATGGTATCTTGATTTCCTGACCACAGTAACTGAAGCATAAGCCAAAAGATACATCTCACAAGTTAGTATAAATAAACAGCTTGGCAAAGAGAACAGAGTTGCCCTTAAGATGGCTAGGCTTATTTTGAACCTAAAACATGCTACCTCTCTTTCATATGCAAAGGTTATCTTGATTCAGGGAACACATATGTAGGACTACACTGCATTTAGGAGTATGAAAAGAACAGAATATTGACTGCTCACCTTGATTCAACATTCTTCAATAACTTGGCTCTGCCTACTTAATTCTTACCTTTGTGGCAAATTCCCAAAGCACTCTGTGCTTTAACTAGGGAGCCATCTGAGGATGGGATGGATGGGCTAACCTGGGGTGTGGGTGTGTGTTCTACTGACTAGGGGTGGTATCCTAGGAAAGGGTGAGTTACTATTAGTTAAGCATCACCTAAATGCCAACTCTTCAAAATCTCTTTCATCCTTGACAGTCTATGGTTCTGGATTATTTTAGTAGCACATAAATTGATGAGCATTGTAGACTATGACCATTTTTTATCATCAAACCTTCTGTAGCTACATTTATTTTTAAGAGCCATCACTTCCCTAATGCAAAAAGAAGAGGAAACTATGCAGTTATGAATATAGCCATTATACCCTAAGCTTCTCTTCTACAACTTAAAGCTATGAAAAGGACACCCTTTGAAACCAAGCTATGATGAACTACACAGACTCCATTCATCAACCACTGCCCTACAACCAAAATCTAAACCCTCTAGCTCACTTGCTGATAATAGCTCAAGATTTATGAACCTTATACTAGACTGACATGCTCTTTAAACTCTTCTCACTTGAGATTCATAAAATTTAATACAATTTTACAGAGCTGTTGCTGAAAGCATCAATGATAAATGTTAGTGGGTTTCAAAGCAAAGGCAAAATGGGAAAATAAAACTGCCATTCCACTTGGCTGGTCTTATCCTAACATAAGGCTTTGTTTATACAGTCAGTCCATGATGATTGCACAGACTGAATAATTCAAATCTCAGATGTGTTGGTCAGTATATCCTATAAAAGTCAGAGGAGATAGAATTTAGTTCTGTGGGTTCAAATAAGGAAGCCCAAATCATGTTGAAAATACACACTCCAGGTACCACTCTGAAGATTCTGATTCAACAGGTTTGTATTTTTACAAGCTAATTAAAAATACTTTGTTCTTTCTGATAATTCGAATTCTTTAATCCCTTGGTGACCAGTTCTACTCACTCTGTAGAAGTTAATACATTTAGCATGTTATTCTGAAGAAAATAACACCTGTGTAATTTTCTATTTTCCATTCTAATATGAATAACCATATCCTTTATATTTCAAGAGGTTACATTATCTAGCAAAAAAAAGATAAGGTAGTCTTTCCTGAAAGTAGAATTTGTGAGGATCTCAGAGTATTATCTACAGTGCTTTGGCTTCTCATGGTAATTTCTTTTTGAGATACATTATAACTAAAGAATTACTCATCAAAAAGATCTCTATAATACAACAATAGTTGAATAAATAGTACTCTGGATTAAGATGAGTTCACAGGTCCAGAAATAAAACAAAAATTAAACGAAAATCTGTCAAAAAGTAGGCCTTGATCACATTATCACTACATCTCTGTAATTTTTAAGACTGAAAAACAAAAAATAAATGCAAGAGAAACTTTCCTTTTTTTTCATATGAATTAAGGTATAGAATAGAAAAAAAATGAACTTAAGTAGTTACAGAGTTCCATAATACCCTTTTAATTCTCAAAGACCAGACATCAAAGTTTTATGCACAGATTAATACTCATTTTTAAAAATGCTGTAGATTTCCTAGTAACTCATTTCAGAACAAAACAAATTTTATTCATAACAAATTTTCTTAAGTCTAGCCAAGACCTTTCTAGATGCATTCACACAGGGCCACCACACTGTACTGTTCAATAGCAGTCTTGGTGAATGGTGCCCCTGGAGTTGTGCAGTGGACTACCTGCACAGCTGTATGAAACAGGCCTGATTTAGTCTACCGTCAGGAGAGAAGGGAACCAACTCATGAGGAGGAAAGAAAATAGCTCGCTGTCATGTAAACACTTTTAAAATTTCTAGAAGTTTCAAAAATTTTTTCCTTCTTGTTAAATAATTACTATATATTTTCTGATAGGTCTAATACTCTAGGCCTTTCAGATGTTTTAAACCATTCACCTTGACACCTTATCTTTGAGATTTCTTGTATATCTTAAAAACCAAAAAATCAGAATAGGAAATGAGTAACCTTGATTCATTACACCTCGACACAGTTACCTTTGCTTCTGCCATCCAGTTGCTGTCCTTTTGAGTTGTACCAATGGACATCTTCATAGTGACCAGCTGTGAGAAGACACTCCATTGAAACACTAGTTCCCTCTTTGGCTATGATGACATCATCACCTGAGTGGGAACTTGGTGAGGGTTCAAAGGTTGGGGGAAATGATGCATTGTAAGAACTGTGATTTTCTCCCCAGGGAGCCATTTGGTTGAAGTCCACATCTTCAAAAACAAAAGCAGCAGGCACAGTAACACTCACCACTAAAGTGAATAAACAACAATGTGGCTTCATGGGAAAATAGAAGGAAATCTTGTTTAGATTTGGAGAACTCAAAACCTTCTATACTGTAAGGACACAGTGGGTAATTTATTGCTTAGTAGAGAAACTTTCCAAAAAAGTGATAGATCCAAGTATATTTTGTCTTCAAAGTTAAAAGATGCAAGTAGAGACCAACCTAAAAGAAAGTCAGAAATAAAAGTTTAACCAGCTGAGACTCATAATGGGGTGAAACTCTGTATATTCCAGAAAAGAAGAGATGTGACAACAATTAGAATAACTGGTGCTGACATCAGGGCATAAATAAATAAAATACCACCTAAAAATCTCACATAGAGACAGCAGAAAATGCATTGAATGGGGAAATGGCCGACCTAGATTCTGGGTTAGCTTCACTACTGACTAGCTGTACGACCTTGGCAAGTAGCATTCTCTCTGGGCTTCTGTTTTCTCATCTGTCAAATGAAGCACTGGATGAGATAATCTCTAAGGACTCTTCCAGTTTGGAAATGCTATGATTCTATTTCACTCTGACAAATTCTATACAACAGGGAGCCAATGAAGGCTAAAATATTTAGCTTAATGATCTTTTATTTCAACCTGCACCATTACCATCTGTTGTTTTATCAATAATGTAAATCAGCTACTACATCATAACCATAACCATGGAGATCAAAATTTGAGTAATTCAAGTACACAGATATATAAACAATGCAGGGATGTTTAAGGTAGTTTTATTTGTCTTAATACTAGAAAGAAAACTGTACTTACTACAGATTATAAATAGAATTATTGACTTCTCAGGTTACAGACCTTCCCTCTTGGGCAAGCATGTCAGACAAAAGAATTTTCCTTTAATAGTCTCTTCAATTTCAAGAGACAAAATACAGTATATTTAACAGTTTGTAAGCATACCAAATTTCTAGCTTAAATTATGTGAAATTAGCTAAGGGAAGAAATAACATCTGAAGTGTCTAGTTGGCAGAAAGGCAAATATAAAACTAGAGGGAAAGACTGTTAGACAAATTTAAAGAAAACCCAGGAAAATATCATGAATAAAAAGCAAAGTAACATCCCAATCTAAGGAGCTGTGTGTTTATGATCATCTTCCTGGTAATGTCCCTCTTTCCTCAAAGAAAAGTTTCAATCTATGTCAATAAATAGTAAATGAAACACCTACCTTTATTTCTTGTAAAGGCCCAAGATAATTACTTTTGGAAATGACATTTACTCTCCTTTATACTTAAATGAAGGCAGCATGATTACAGAACATAAAAAGAAATGAATCATGATATTTTGCCATTAAACTTCTCAAAGTCTGAATTACAATAAGATGTAAATGTCATTTAATTTTCATTAGATCCTGAAAGGATGGTTGAATAGTGATAATAAATAATTTTCTAAATCTTTAAAATTCAAAGATGGACTATTTAAAGTAAAACCAAAAAATTCATATTTGGGCTATATATGACAGCTCAAACATGTGTATATTTCCATTTCTTCATAAAACTCCACTGAAGTCAGAGTAAAGGAAAACAAAGACATGGGCACTGATGAGGATTTTAGAAATGATGTAATCTAATCTATTCACTTCATAGTGACTTACTCCTTAACAATTATGCTAGAAGTTAGTAGTAGAATCCAGATTAAAAGTTGGTCTTTTTCAGGAGAGAGTGATGGGTGGAAACAATGAAAATAACATTGAGTGAATAACTGCCAGAAGCCAGGCATTATATTAGGGGCTTGACTTGTAAGCTTCCAAGTTTCACTATAAGATACACAACAATTAGTAGATAGGATTTTTCCTTTATTCTAGACTAGTGAGTCTGAATGGCAATAGGCTATGAGTATACTGAAAAAAATGCTCCAGGTTTCCCCCAGGTCTTTGATAAAGAGTTTCTTCATCCAACTCAGCATTTTCTACACTTCATTCATTCCTTTGCTGTCATGACTTTTTTTCTATATTCATATGTCAAATTATTATCATTTATGGTTTCCTTTAAGTCAACTCATTATTTTATCTTCATACATTTATTTTAAAACTCTGTATCACTTCTATGGATAAATGTAACTGTACACATAAACACAATGAAAACAAAGCAGTGTTGTTAATTTCCAGAGATACTGCCAATTGCTTAAGGCTCTGAGCTAGAGGCTTGCTCTTTTATACAGGGAAAGCAAAACAAAAAGCCCTTACGACTGGTTTATTCTAACATAGCCTTATCTCTTATCCTGTCACCTACTTCTCATCCCTCCCCACCACTAAGCTTTAGATTAGAAGTATACATTTTCATATTCAACAGTATCTATTGAGCACCTGCTATGTGCCAACCTACAGTTATATGGATACTGTCTGTCTTCATTTTTTTTTTTTTTGAAGACAGAATCTCACTATGCCGCCCTCAGTAGAGTGCTGTAGTGTCACAGCTCATAGCAACCTCAAACTCTTGGGCATAAGTGATTCTCTTGCCTCAGCCTCCCAGAGAGCTGGGACTACAGAAGCCTGCCACAATGCCTGGCTATTTTTTTGGTTACAGTTGTCATTGTTGTTTCAGCAGGCCCAGGCTGAGTTCAAACCCGCCAGCCTGGGTGTATATGGCTGGCGCCCTACCCACTGAGCTACTAGCACCACCTGTCTCTGCCTTCATGAAGCTATCAGGCAGAGGCTACAGATATTAACTAAATACATACAAAATACCCAATGCTATCCCAGGGAAAATACAGGATGCTACAAGAAGACGCACCCATGGGTAGCTAACCTTGTTGCAGAAAGCCTCCCTGAGAAAGTAAGGAGTGCAGCAGGACCTGAAGGATAAACAGAAATCAAAACTAGAAGGGAAATGCTCCAGGTAGAGGGCCAGAAGACAGTGAAAAAGCAAGGAAGTCACTGGTCAAGAGGCATCCAAGAAAAAGAATTGTAAGTTGTGGTAATGAGATGTGGTGGTAAGAGAATGCTGGGTTTGAGTCCTGATTCTGGATGGAATCTCCTGGGCCAGTGGAGAAATTAGAGATGGACTCTGGGAATTGTAGAGGGTGAAGTTAATGAAGTGTAAGATGAAGAGGTCAAAGAACAGAGGCTCAGGAGTGGGACAGAGCAGCTGTGGGTATGGTCATGTTCCCCCAGGAGCAGGGCAATTACTGAGATTCAGGAGCTTTGAGAGGATGGACGGCTTCCACAGAGGGTTGCAGAGCAAACAGTGTCTTTACAAACACAAGGCTTAGCATAGTTCCATACGGCTACATGGAACTTCTTCCTGCTTCCTGAGCCTCTCTTCAAGGTCTGGTGCTTCCTCCCACAGAGATCCAGATATCTCTGACCCCCTGGAGCCTGCACCACTCATTTGGCTCTGGTATATGCTGCTTTATACTGCTATGCAGTCTACCACAGTTCACCTATGAGCCCCTCAAGCATAAGGGACTATATTTTTTATTGCTATACGTTACAACTAGCACATGCTCAATAAATAATTTATTGACAAAGATTAGTTTAATTTGATAAAATATGTGATGGGTCTTTATAAACTGAATGTTATATAACAAGGATAATAATTATTCAAATTGGCATACTTTTATTAGCACCTATTACATTCTATGAGACAAAACCAGACAACGCTAATCATCTCAAAAGATCTGAAAGGTACGTACCTAAAGGAATTCATGACTTTCAACCCCTGAAGTCTTCATTTACCATTTTGTATTAGAAAATACTGTAAGAATAAAAGATTATCAAGTCCAGAATTTCCAAACCAAGTTGAATCTCACAATCACCTAGAGAGCTTCTTAAAAATACATTCGTGGGTCCAACCCCAGACCTAGAAAGGGTTTGGGTCTTGGAATTTATGGCTTTTAATTAGCTCCCTGGGTGATTCTAAGGCAGTGGGTCCATGGACCACTAATCTAATTCCTCATTTCCTCTACAAGAACCCTGGCTAATGGTGCTCCAGACTGAACACTTCCCATAAAAGAGAACTAATCACTCACATTCCATTCTGGATTTAGATCACTCTTCATCAGCATAATTGAAGGTCTCTGATAAGGAAGAGTAGCAGAGAGGTTCAAAGTATAGGCAGTGGTGCCAGAGACACAGTCTGGCAACAGTAAACACTGAATAAGCTCAAGTAATTAATTATTCTTTTAGACACTGTGCTAAACCATATACCTGATAGTTAAGCCATTATAAAACACCTTAACTTAGAACACCACACAGCCATTTAAAAATCTTAGAGGGGGGTCACCGTTATGCAATTTTAATGTTTAAAATTTCACATTTTTCTCATTGTAAATAAATATTTTATAATGCAGATCAAACAGCAAGTATAAACTGAGCTTGAATCCCAACCATGATATATCACATTGTTTTTTTGTGTCTTGAGTTTGTGGTATAGAACCACTGCTGTCATCTACTCAGCCCTGCCTTTATCTTCTTGGGCCTAGGAGGAAGTCAAAATACTGGCTGACTAAGCTACTCAGAATGTTAAGTCATGGAATTTGGAACTGAGACACTTGTGGGATAGAGCCACTTGAGGAAGAGAAGGCACATGAGGGCTTAGGCAGTCAGGTTTGGGCCACAGATAAGAAGCAGCTGTGAGAAAGCACAAGCAGGATGAAGAAAGAGCAGGAAGAGGGGAGAGAGAAGGGAAGAGGGAGAGAAGCAGGGGACAGGAGAGAAGACTGAGACATGCTGCTCTGGCTCCTGACAGAATTCTACTTCCTGGCTCCAATATGACTGTGTGTGTTTTAAAAATAAATATCTTTATTCAGTTTAATTCAAAATTAAAACCATGAAAACAAAGTCTGAACATGCAAACAAATGTAGCAAATGGGGAAATGATTAGGCAGGAGAAAAAAAGACTAAGTTCGCAACAAGTGACTGAACGGTGGCTGTGGCTCACCATCCATCTCTATTCTCCATGTCATGCGCTGGACTGTGGCAAGCAAACTGCCCACATGGCCAAAATCCATAGCTCCTGCTTTGTACAGACACAGCCATTTGTCTCTATTGGTTTAGAGAAATCTGTAAGACATGGTTGAGAAAAATACTACCAGCACCCTTAAACTGCTTGTAGGCCAAAGACGGCAGAAGTAGCCTGGCACATGATTTCACGCCAGGAGAGAAGTGTCTTATATATCCAGGCAATACCGAACACTTCATACTCATACCCTGGATATTGTGAACACAAAGGATTTCTGATCCGAGCTACGAAGAGATACAACCCATTTGTGGATAAGAGGTTGCTGAACAGTTTCTCGCT